CACTCTGTATATAGGTATGTATAAAACTAGTAGCCTAAGAATTACTTACAGTTCGTCCCATTCTAAAAAAAAGGTAAACACACCGTACAAATAACTCTAGGAAGAGGTATTTGTACAGTGGTAAAAAATTGTCTAAACAAGGCCGAAGAGGCAGAGAAAATGTAAAAAAGGTCGGGTAACGCCTTTGTTTATTTGTTGAGCAAAATTCCTTTAGAATATCGTATATAATGACCAAAAATGACACAATTTTAAGAAAAAAAATGTCACTCTTTGGCTTATAATTAAATTTCAAATGCAACGTTTATATTCAAATTTGTTATGATCTACCACAGTTAGGTACTAATTGAGACGAATTATAATTCAATTACCGGCTACTACGTTCTTGTTTTAATATATTAATTACAAATATAATTAGAAATTATTTTGATTGTGAGAGGCTCCCTTGTGGGACGCCTATGTACAATGACGACGGAAATATAAAAATGTGAAAACAATACCCACCTGTGAAAAGACAAATTCGGGTAATTTGAGCTTATTTTTCCACACAGTTGACACTGTCGTATCGTACTGAATTCGCAGATTCAAAAGTACGTTAAACAAAAACAAAAACCACCGAAAAACACTGAAAAGTTCACTTTCGTCTTGATTCCGACTTCAAACACACCGCAAGCTAAACGTAGTACGCTATAACGGACCAAGGGCCGTCGCGAGGGGTGGTGGGACGGACGGCTTATTTCATTCTGGAAGACTAGCAGCGACGTTGCCAATAGTTCTAGACGTTTCAGCACATTAAACAGTAAACATATCCTTTAATAGTAACGCATATATCCTCTGGTTAATAACCATATTATTACGCATGCTTCTTTAAAAATAAACTATTAATTTAATTAAGAAATTGAGATTTATTGATATCCGGTAAAGGTTTTAAAGTCACCTTTTCTGTAAATCAAACTGAGTAGATAGGCGCAAATTTGAGATGTGGCAATGTCGCCTTCTCTATCTCAGTTGGTTTTTACAGTACGTAGTCAACCTCCTATTGTTTGATCGGGTTAAAATGTCTCATGTGATATCTGATCTTACTAAATCTATGGTGTAGACCGTTAAATACTGGTAAAAAGTTGTCTCTTAATGTTTTGTCAATTTCTATCTCCTGGATGCTTTAAATGTGATTTAATATATTTGTCTTAATACAATTCTAATAACAACCTTTAAAAAAGATGTAATGCCATTAACTGGCCAAAATGTTAAATAAGTACTCATTGATTGCTCATCAAAAAATATGGAAAAAGTTCCTATAAACATGGATGCAGAAAGGCATAGTTTTAGTTATCTTCAATACCATTATTTTTTTGATAAATTAGTACCTACGTAACACTGACAGATCAAGTCTGTAGATTTGGCCTGAGGTAGGCTTGGTCTGCCATACGCTTAGTCTGTCACAGAGTTGGTCCGCCACAGATATATAATGTCTTTAACCGCAGACCAAATCTTCTAGTGCATGGGGGCTATTTATTTGACCATTGTCAAAGAATATTTGATTGTAATGCAAAACATTCCCTTTATCATATTTAATTACAGCGATTTTTTAATAGGTATTAATAGATGCGTCTACACCTTTTTAAGATCCACACTTTTCAATCTACTCGACATCTACACTTTATAATTCATAAAGAGATTTAGCTCTATTGTTACCAATATTTCTTTTCCAGTCGTTGTAAATCATTGTTACTCAGGTTCAAAATAAATGCATTTACCCTCATTTTTAACCTTCTTTGTATGCTAATTTTATATTCTAAAAAACTCATAAACAGCATATAAATTAAACATATTAAAGCAAGATTTATTATGATAACAACGAATATAAATTACAAAATAAGCTTATAAGACTTAAAGTTACAAGCAATTTCAGAAATTATTGCTGTAAATGATTTATGAAAATTATAATTACTAGTAGTGAAATATAATTAAGCCAAGAAAAGTGTACACATACAACTAAAAATAAAAATAATTAAAGGAAAATTTATAACAGTACATATTTTCCATTTATATTTTATGTAGCAAGAAAAAATTTACGAAATAATATGTTTTTTTATATCAGATAAAATTTATAAAATACTGCTTGAACGACGTAAAAAATCATGAATTAACGAAAATGATTTACACTATTTATACTATAAATTAATTTATTATATTATATACGAATAATACCATTTTATGAATACTATATAGTTATAACAAGAATAGGGCAAATTCTTCAATACATTCCTCAAACTCGATACATGAGGTAAATAAAAGCAACGGAAGGAATCCAAAATCCGCTTCCAAAGAAAAGTATGCAGAAAAACATCATTCTGTTCGGTCTTCCGATGCATTTTGCGAATGGCAAGTTTTCTCCTGGTACTCCTCCATGTCGTTCACTCATGTTTCTTCTGTAAATTGGGATAATGGCATTCTTCTTAATTATTAATGTCGGCCCTACAAGCTTTCTTAAGGATAATAGTTTAGACGACATTTTTTACAGTAGAATTATTCAGTTTGAAAGTTGTCAATATTTTTATTGTTTGGTTGCTCGGGAAACTAAAAATACAGATAGCTTTCAATTATTGTCAGGCTGTCAGGGAGCTTTCTTTTATCTGTGGCTGAAATTGTAATAGCAAAATTGGTTAAAATTAGTTCCAACCCTTGAACCTAGATTACCTGCAAATATTTCTTATATAAATATTTCAGTTTTTGTAATTTTTTAAGTTTCCGTTATTTCAAACCGCCATTGTCAAAGAATAGTGTGGTTGTTATAACTGGTATTTTTTTTATTTGTGGTTCTACAGGGTGGTCTTAAATAAGTACAAATATTTTTGGTGGGAGTACATTTCCACCCCAGAAACACAACTACATAATATGAAATTTTTTTCGCAAATTTTTTTTTGAGAATTTGGATTTTTTTAAAAAAATTTTTTGGAAATTTGTTAATTTTTATATAGTTAAAAACATAATATCTTCATAATATGGTAACATAGGTAGTAGGTTAAATTTGCAAGACAGAAAATCCAGGAAAGATCCAGTACATATTTAAACAAAAAAAAATAAAGTTAAAAAAAAGATTGAAATTTTCAAGATTTTATACCTGCATCATCCTAGAACATTATATTCCTGCAGTTTAAGTGACAGGTTTTGTTCCAAAATATCTACCATACATATAATAAACGCCTGTTCAAATATTAATTCTGTGGAATGTATATCAATATAGCATAAAACGAGATGTAATTAACAAAATATCATCGTAACAACAGCTATTTTAGAAATGTCTAGGTTTACTTACTTCTCTGAGATTTATGAAAAAAAACTACAGGAGGGGCAGCTGACCCTTGCTTGGGATCATCCTCCACATGTCGTAGCACACAAGCTACCACTTTCTCCAGCAAGGGTCGGGAGCCTCCCTCTAGACCCAATAAGCGACATAAGCTACCGTTTCGTTAATCCGGCCGGGGTCAACCAGGCGGGCTAGACAATCCTTTGAAAGTAGGTCTTAGCGGAGCAGAAGCACGGAGATACATCCGACTATTCCACGCAGGACTTGCTCCAGAGGAAGCAAAAGCGAAAACACTCCTCCGAAAAGGGGAGAGTAAAGAAACCAAGAAACAACCTGACTCATCTCCATCAAAGGGCAAGAGAGGGAGCGAGAACCTCTCACCTCTTCTCCGACAGGGAGAGAAAGAAGCCAGGATGGAAAGCTGTCCAACACCGGGAGGCAAGTAGGGACGCATTTGACCAGCTTTGTCGCTATTTCTGGACAAGTGAAAATGGCGGTGCTGCCAAAGTATTTCCCAGAGGTTGCTCTGACCACCGACCAGCAAACGTCTCTAGAAGAGGCTATACTGGACGAAGTAGTGGCGATCGGATCGCAACACAACGATCTACAAAATGTGGGTCAGCTGCGTTTGCGGGGATACACTTTCGGGTAGGCATGATCCTCATAAATTGTGTATCTCAAGAATCGGCGAATTGGTTGGTGGAAATCGCACCTAATCTTAAAAAAGGGCCGGAACTGGTTGCAGTAAATGGAGAAAACATCCCTAAAGGGGCGGTCACAACGGTCTTTCTGCCGAGGAGCAAGGAGAAAGACACTATCTACCTGCTGAGCCTTATCCAAGGTCAGAACTTCAATGTAATGACATCGAGTTGGCGAGTCATCAATTCGTGAGAGGAGGGTCATGGTCAGGTCCTCACAATAGAAACTGACCTTAAATCCAAGGAGTCAATAGAGAAAGAGGGACATATCCTCTATAATAGATACGGAACAACACCGTTATCAGGTCTAAGGAGAGACCAAGTTAAAGAGGTAGAGAAAATAGAGGCAGATCCTCCAGCCTCCACCTCACGAGTTCCTCAGCCGGAGGCAAGCTCCTCGACTATGAAGAGCGGCACGGAGGGCCGAACTCCAACCGTGGAAGGGTGTGTACCCTCGGAAGAAGAACTGTTGTCAGAGGAAGATGGGAAATACCCTGTCCCCTCTACAACAGAGGTATGATGGGTTATAGATTGTGTGATGACTCAAGGAAGGGGGGGGGGCACAATAGAGCTTTAAGGTCGCAGTGATTAACCCTCACTCTTACTCATTCTACATTCTACATGAATATTGGGCTTTCTCTATAGATATAACTGACTAACGCAAGCTGTTGCTAGGATATTCTATTAATTTTAATTGTTTTTTAAACATTGTGAATGATCGTAAAGTAAAAAGTATAAAGTATAATTGAAACCACTAATTATTAATAAAACAATATACTATTATAAGAAATATCTGCTTCCTGTTTGTGTTTAAAGTTAAATAGAAAATGCCCCGCGTTTCGCTTCAGTGAATTTAACCATATTACCAATCCGCTATTATATCTACTAAATACACGAGTATTGCTTCTAGTTGATTAACTTCAGACCCTCTTTGGGTCCGACTGATTATTATCCTAACTCTATCTATAGAACAATAAGTTAATATTTTCTTCCAGGATATTCCGCTTCACGTCACTATGCTCACTTACGTCTGTTTGGCCTGGGATCGGCGCAGATTCCTGCGGAATCCAAACAAACCCCGATTGCCGGCCTTCGTGTGTACCGTCGGGACGTGGCTAACGTCCCTCTGTTTGGTGCTTCCCTATCCGATATACATAACGCATATAGATTTGGGGGTAAGTAAATAGTTCTAGACGTTTAGCGGGTTCGGTACGTTAAGTTTAGGGGTAGGGATTTAGTGGTGAATAATTATGGGCTGCCGAAGAGAAATTTAATTTATAATGTAAATTTATTGAATAAGTATTAATTAATGAAGATATAATATACCGGGTGCGTCTCAGAAGTGGCTCACCCCCTATAACTTTTTTATTCTTTCAGATAAAAAACGAGATTTGATATGTTAGTATATGAAATAAATTAGGATTGATTGACGTATTCAACTGTTTTGGGTCACTTTTGTTTCAGCGAAAACGACTATAACTTTTGATTTTTAAATGGCACCCTCGGTATTTTTTGTATTTTATTCGATAGAAAATGACACTGAATCGAATGACGTATCATATTATGTCAACTTTTGACATTCGCACTTAAAAAATCGTATTTTAAATTTCAATCTAGAGTGCCATGGCTATGTTTAAAACACTAATTTTTAATCCAGGAGTTGGAAATATAGATTTGATCGTCTAATGTTTTTAGTGCCTTGTCCTGGCCGGTTAAAAGATGCCCAAATCGTATTTTTAATTATACCTCAATTTTTTCAAATGGAACGAGGGTGGCTCATTAACATATTTGAAAATAGCATTTTATTACGAATAATTTTATACCACACATTTGGTATTTCGAATCAAATTCTTGTTATGAACCGCATGTTACAATTTCAAATAAACTATATGCGAAAATGTCAAAAGTTGACATATGATATGTCATTCTATTCAGAGTGTCATTTTCTATCGAATGAAGTAAAAAATACCGATATGGTGCCATTTAAAAATCAAAACTTGTCGCCATTTCCGGTGAAACAGGAAGCGACCGCAAACAATTGAATACGTCAATCAATTCGAATTTATGTCATATACTAGCATACCAAATATCGTTTCTTTTATCTGAAAGAATGAAAAAAAAAACTTATAGGAGTGAGCCACCTTTCCGACGCACCCGGTATAGGGTATAAAAGACCTGAAAGTAGCATACATATTTATAGTATAGTACTCGTATATATTAGCAGTGTTAATAAAGTAAAATTTAAAAACAAACAGTTTAAATGAAATAGAAGTAAAGAACCTACATTGTGTTAAATTTATATATTTTTGACTTGCCTCGGATGCGCACAACAATAACCAAATTAGGTTAATGTGAAAAAAAGTAGCTAATGCAAACCAAACGCTAAATTTGTATACAGTGTATTTTAAAAATATGTGTCATCTCTCGTGGGGAGATTCCTCGCTTAAAAATAAGATTTATTTTTTATATGAACATACGTCCGATTCTGCTTTGTTTTGTAGCTATAGAGGGTTGAGGTCTTCATTTTTTTCGGTTGATTATAATTTTCTTAGTGTTTTAAGCGATTCGGAAGAAATTTTGAGGGTAAAAGTTTTAGTACTAAAAAAGATTAAAAAATGTCTATACCTATGTGGCGGATTCATCTTTCCAAAAAAAATCCACAAAATAAAATAATAATTTTTTGTAAACACTTCTGCGTTAAACCTAAACGGACGCTGCTTGTCAGAAGTTATGTTTACAGTAACACAAATTTGCCTAACAAAGAAAAAAATTCTTAACGTTTCGAAAAGTTCTTTCCGTCGTCAAAATCTCTTTCCGTCGTCGGAAGCAAAAAAATACAAAGAATAAAGAAAAAAACTACTTAAAATATTTAAATTCAACTATTCGAGAAAACTTTACTTTTTTTAAAACAGATATCTGTTACTTGAATTTAAAAACATACTCACAGACCTTCATGGCGTGGCGTGGCGGCTAATGGGGTCTCGCCTGCGGCTCGTGTCATAATCTTCATCCGCGTGAATAACAGCCACCATTATATGCTCGTTGAATAATATACTATAAAAATACTTGATATTATTATAAAATATACTATAAAAACACGCCAGTATTCAAAGCACATGAGAGCACTATTGAGAGCCTAATGTTTCATCCTTGTGAAAATAAGTTATGTCAGATCGCTCTGGGATCTTACTCTATTATTATAATAACAGTAAAGAATTACCTTCCAAATGACAAAACAAAACTTTTTTACTTTTTTTCGCTTAATTTATCTAAACAAAAACTTTTTTTTATTATTTGCCTAGACTTTTGTATATTACAGATATTTTTTAGAGCAAAATCCTGACATTTAAAATCACAAAAGGCACTCGATCAGAGGAAAAAAGGAGAGAGGGCGAACAATAAACGCAAGAATTTCTCAATTCCGCAAAACGCCGACGTAAATCGAAACAGGGAGGAAATGGAACGGTCAAAAAATTTAAATTTTCGAATAGAGCATAGTTGGAATCGTGCACAACCATCGATCATTCCTGAAATTGTAAATTAACGCACCGTTACGCACACAGAAACCCTTTTAACACCGGCTGACATTAAAGACAGACGAGAAAAAATGGATCTGTGTTTGTTATTCGTTTGCTATCTACAAGGTATCTCTGACTAAGTTTGCAGTAAAATATTATAAAAAAAAACGACTGTAAATCTGAATTAGAATTTTTTATACATTTAATGTCTAGTGATGAGCGAGACTGGCTTGGTCTTGTTTAAAATTTGACTATTGTTTAAAATGCTAAAGGAAGATATGCTGATTCAATATACTCGTAATATATTGAAAAATTAAAATATACGTCAAAATTTCATTCAAATCACTAAAAACACTTGATAGAAAATCTTTATAAATTGAAAAAGAAAATAAATGAAAGAATGAAAATGATAATAAATATAATTTCTCTGGCAATGAAAATTACAGACACAACTCTCCATGTCATGGATGTTCTCGTCAGATAGACTATTCACAGTTTATGTGTAGATTCACAAGATGTATAAAAATAAATCAAGAATATACTATGTAAAATTTAAAATAAAAAAAAATCATGTGTCCAACATTCTTGACTAGAGGTGGGCAAAGATTGAACGAGTCGTTCATTTGAATGAGTATTAAAAATGAATCGTGATATTTGATGAACTGCTTAGAATACGGTTTGCTCAATTAAATCGTAGCCAGCACGGATCCATAAGATTTGAACGATGAGCTGTAAAAGAGTCGTGAGAATTGAATCGGATCACAATGCGATCGTTCGTTCAAAGAGTCGTGAGAAGTAATTAATTGCTTACAATACGGTTCGTTCAATTGAATCGTGGCCAGCACGGATTCATAAGATTTGAACGATGAGCCGTAAAAAAGAGTCGTGAGAATTGAATCGAATCACAATGCAATCCTTCGTTTCTACGGCCCGGCGCGGCGGTTATAGGTATAGACATAGAGTCAGGCACTAATATTTAGCCTTGAACAAAAGCCCTAAACAAACATCATGGGCATAAAATGCAAACTATAAAAAAGTTATTTACAAGAAAAAACACTTATTTATACTGTGCTTAGTACGGGAGTATCTGTAAGGTATTTAATTTTCACATTATTATTTTTGTTAAAATAATATTACGGACTATAAACCATTAAATGTCGGACTAAAACATGAAATTGTGTTTTTATGCAACTCCAAATAAATATTGTTGGTCTCTGCTCAATATGATAAAAAAAACGGCATCAGCGATTGTTATAAAATGAAGATCGCTGTCATTTTATACCAAAAATTATATGGGCAATGCATATATTTATAAAGTAATAATGAGTTTATGAGTATATGTCATCGATGTTCAGTTCCAAGCCAACTGGACGCCATTTTTTTTTTCAATCAAGCGGTATTATATACTATTTTTTATTGTGATTATTAAATCGGAATTAAATTATGGCTCAAAAAATATTAAATTGGTATTAAGAAGTCTTTATATATTAATCGTCCACATAGCCTACCCACCAAATTTGGTCGCAATCGGACATCAAGTTTTGACGTAAGAAACGTAACTGTCACAGTGACACGTGTCGCACACGGTCAAGTTGGCCTTGGTCTAATCTATCGACATACCGAATTTCATTTAAATCGGGCGATTTTTTTATCTGATTCATTGATGATTTGTAGTGCACGAAACGTCGTCAAAATATCATAAAAAGAGAACCAACACATCTGCATTTCGGATTTCAGCCCCCTAGCTCCCATAGGGCCTGAGTTACAACGCACACAAGCCAAAATGTTAAAATCAAAGTTCAAAAATCAAAATTACAATTTTTTTTTTCGTATGTTCGTCCACTCTCTGCCGTTCTTATAAAATCTATAAACCTAATTTTAAATATTATAATTTTTTCCGAGCAACAATAGCAGTGCAAGCACTACCGAAATGGATGGAGTCCACGCTTTCTGGGCAGAGCGTTAGCCCTGCACAAACGTGGAGCGCAAAAGAGTGTCATTTACACCCAGCACAGCCATTTGAAAATTAATTATAATTATAGACAATATAGCTACAGACATGTAGTACAATTAAATAACATCAGTATAATAATTTTGAACTGTTTTGAATGTAATGTAGAATGTAGATAAAATATATTTTAAACACCCTATTTTGGGTTTATTTTTTTTTATAATTTTGTTTTCATAATGAGTTATAGTAATGAGTTCCACGGAGTTCCGCTTTTAATTTAATAAAATTAAAATCACTAATTTATGTTTGATACAGGTATAAAAAAACCAGCTTTCCCAAATTTGCTCTTTTTTGAAATAGCCCTTTATTTGCAGGGAGTCGTACTGATTTCTATACCAGTCCTGTAATATCAAGAAAGAGCTTGTTTAGTTTTAAGAATACAGATATTCTAAATTATGAATTTCTAAGTTTATAACAAGTTTTTTTTTCATATATTATTGACAGTAGAAAAAAATTCAAATGGCTGTGCTCGGTGTAAATGACACCCTTTTGCTCTCCACGAGTTCGCACCACAAGGTGCGAACTGCATCAATTTTCGGTAACGCTTGCACTACCCTAGTTCAATAGAAAAATTTATAATATTTAAAATTAGCCCTACAAGTTTATCTGTGGATAAACATACGAAAAAAAAGTAATTTGGATTTTT